TTGCCAGGGATGGTCCAGGGCGTGGTGGTCCAGATGGCCAGGGCCAGCGATGGGAGGAGGGGGGTGAGGGAGGCAGGTAGGGAGGAGGAGAGGGAACGGAGAGGGAAGGTGGTGTAGATGCTTCGAGACACGTGCACGTCCGGGTACTGGTGTGAGGAGGGGAGGGAAGAAGGAGGGGCGGAACAAGCAGGGAAAGGTGATGAGGAGAGGCATGCCGTGACGTGAAATGAAAGCACTGTTGACTGAGACTCAAGGCTGCATCAGCCAAGGGCAGTCCGATCAATGGACAGCAAAGCAACAGCGGCGTTGCCAGGGATGGTCCAGGGCGTGGTGGTCCAGATGGCCAGGGCGAGGGAAGGGAGGAGGGGGTCCAGGGAGGCTGGCAGGGAGGAGGAGAGGGAGCGCAGAGGGAAGGTGGTGTAGATGCTTCGAGACACGTGCACGTCTGGGTACTGTTGGGGGAGGGGGAGGGAAGGGAGGATGAGGGAAGGGAGGATGAGGGAAGGGAGGATGAGGGAAGGGAGGATGAGGGAAGGGAGGATGAGGGAAGGGAGGATGAGGGAAGGGAGGATGAGGGAAGGGAGGATGAGGGAAGGGAGGGGGGAGGGAAGGGATGGCTGAAGGCACTGTTGACTGAAGGCACTGTTGACTGAAGGCACTGTTGACTGAAGGCACTGTTGACTGAAGGCACTGTTGACTGAAGGCACTGTTGACTGAAGGCACTGTTGACTGAAGGCACTGTTGACTGAAGGCACTGTTGACTGAAGGCACTGTTGACTGAAGGCACTGTTGACTGAAGGCACTGTTGACTGAAGGCACTGTTGACTGAAGGCACTGTTGACTGAAGGCACTGTTGACTGAAGGCACTGTTGACTGAAGGCACTGTTGACTGAAGGCACTGTTGACTGAGACTCTAAGCTACATCACCCAGGGATGATCCAGGGCGTGGTGGTCCAGATGGCCAGGGCGAGCTATGGGAGCAGGGGGGTGAGGGAGGCCGGCAGGGAGGAGGAAAGCGAACGAAGAGGGAAGGTGGTGTAGATGCTTCGAGAGACATGCACGTCTGGGTACTGTTTTTGGAGAGGGGGAAACGGGGGGGAGGTAAGGGGAAAGGTAGAGGGGAAAAGGAGAGTGAGTGTGGAGGGAAAATGGTGTAGATGCTGTTTCAGGTCAGGGCAGGGGGAAGGGGTACACCTACCATTCCCGAGCCTCTCTCCGTCACCTCCAGCTCAGCCTCGGCAAGAGAGGTCCTGGAGAAAGGGCTTCAGTGCACGTGTTTTTGGCCGTAACTGTTGAGCAGCATGCGGGCAAACACAACCAGTCCAGCCCCCTCATACCTCCGTTCCCACCTTTCCTCAACCTCAACCTTTTCCGTACCTCAAGCTCCGCCTCAGCGAGCGCAGTGCGGGAGGACGGACTCCAGTGCACGGGCTTTCTGCCGCGGTAGATGTGGCCGTTCAGCACCATGCGCGCGAACACGCCCAGCTGAGCCGCTTCGTAGGCGGGCCGCAGGGTGAGGTAGGGGTGCTCCCAGTCCGCCCACACGCCGTAGCGTCGGAAGGCCTGCCGCTGCTTGTCCACCGTCTTGAGGGCGAATTGAGCTGCCTTCTTCCGCAGCTTGATGGGGGTTAGACCCTGCCGTGCCTTGCTGTCCATTGATTGGAGCACTTGGGGAAGGGAAGATAGAGGAGGTGTGGGGGGTGTGCGGGAGGGAAAGGGGCGTGTTGGGGGAGATTTGGTAGGTAACACACGCCATGAGCACAAATCAAGGACAGGGGCATGAAACAGGTTCTGGTGATTCTTTTCTGTCCCTTGGCCTTTCCCTCCCCCCAAAAGCTACACTCCCCCTCACACCCCAACTCCCCCACCCCTCCCTCTCGTCCCCACCCCACATGCAAGAAATGCCATGGGAGCAGGGAGAGAGGGCATACCTTTGAGTTCGATCGGCAGCCCGTGGCAGTCCCACCCACCCCGGAGAGGCACGAACCTCACCTTGCGGGGATTCATTACCTCCACTAATCAACCTCCCCCACCCTCCAACCAACCCCTCCTCTCCCCTGCAAGCAGTGCCATGGGAGCCGGGAGAGCGGCGTACCTTTGAGTTCGATGGGCAGCCCGTGGCAGTCCCACCCCGGCACGAACTTCACCTTGCGCCCCCTCAGCATCTAAGGCCGGGGGAAGCGGAGGAAGGGGGGAGCAGGGGGAGGGGGGAGCAGGGGGGAGGGGGGAGAAGGGGGAGGAGGGCGCAGGGGGGGGGGGGAGGAGGCGGAGGAGGGGGATGAGGATGCAGAGGCGAGGCAGCAGGTGACGGGATGGAAGGGAAATGGAAAGAGGCGAGGCAGCAGGTGACGGGATGGAAGGGAAATGGAAAGACACGAAGAGGTGTAGGGAGAGAGAGGAGCCAAGTTCTAGAGCCACATTGTCACTCTAGGTGCTCCATCATACTCGTGTTAATGCGAGCGCACCTGGTCGCCACGGATCTTTACGTGGCAGCAACTTATAGGTACAACACCTGTGTTTGTCAGTGGTGTTTTTGTAAGAGACGACTTTTGAGCCGATTCAAAAGTCACCTGGTAGCGGTTGATGAAGTACTTGAGAATCTTGTTCAGCGCATGGCCGATGTGCTGCAGGTCGCCATTGACATATCGCGTATGATGATGGCCCTCCCATCATGCAACGACCGACTCATAGCTGAAGTTTGTTGGATCCGAAACGCAGAAAGCCTGGATGTCGCGTGTGAACGCGTTTCGGCCAGCAAAGGCCTTCATCAGCACAACGCGTATGATGGCCCTCCCACTCATAAGGCGCGTAGGATACAACGACCGACTCATAAGGCGCGTCAAAAGACGTCTCAATGGGAGGGCACAGAGGCTTCAAGTGTGAGCGCACACACACACACACACACACACACACACACACACACACACACACACACACACACACACACACACACACACACACACGCACACGCACACGCACCTGGTAGCGGTTGATGAAGTCCTTGAGAATCTTGTTCAGCGCGTGGCCGATGTGCAGGTCGCCATTGGCATATGGCGGGCCATCATGCAGCGTGAATGGCTCCTGTTGGTGGCGGACGGGAGCGAACGAAAGAAGAGGAGAAGAGTGCGCAGAGAGAAAAAGGGTTGAAATGGGGAGCATGGGGCGAGAGGGACGGGTGGTGCAGGGGAGGGAAGGGAAGGGAAGGGAAGTGGAAGATGGGGCATTGAGCAGTGGTGTTGAGCCTGCAGTTGTATCTCATTCCATTGCACCCATGTCAGGCAACAGCAGCCACACACACCCCCTCCCCCACCCCACCCACCCACCCACCCATGCGTGTCCCTCCCTCCTGCAGTGCGCCCACCGCAACACGAATGCCTCTCATGCGGCAATCAGCTGGACCCCGCCCCGTGACCAACCTGAGCTCCCTCATGGTCCCTGCTGCTGAGACATCCCTGGCACTGAGGTCCAACCTCGGGTCCATGACTCATCTCACTCTCACTCACCCCCGGGTTGCTTTCCAGCAGCTTCCCCGCGACGAACAGCTCCGGCTCCCTCACGCTCGCGTTCGCGCGCATGCCCACCCCACCCCACCCCACGAATGCGGCTCAAACAACGAGAGGCGCATCAAGGATGATTCCCCACCTCACCCACTCACCCCCGGGTTGCTTTCAAGCAGCTTCCCAGCGACGTCCAGCTCCCCCCAGAGAGTCTGGATTTCCGGCTCCCGCACACTCGCGTTGGCGCGCATGCCAAAGCTCGTCTGCGGAAGGCACACCGTGCCCTTGTACTTTCCCCCCTCCTGCTCCGCGCCCCCCTCCTCCGCGCCTTTCTTCTTCCCCCGCGCCTCCACCGCCAGCCTCCGCGCGCGCCCCGCGGCAGCGCCCGCGGGCAGTGTGGGGAAGTTGACTCTAGCGCCGCCGAGGCTGCGCGGGAATCCCAAGGTGGGGGGGAGAAACGCGGAGCGCAGGCTGTGCGCGGAGGAGCGCGTGGTTTTCCGCGCGGAATGAGAGGGGGCTGCGGAGAGGGAGGGGGCAAGGCGCGGGGCGGCGGAAAGCGCGCTGGGCGCGCAGCAGATGCAGCGCATTCTGCCGCAGAGGGTGGAGAGCGCAGGGGAGCGCGCGGCGGACGAGAGGAGATGAGTGCCGGATGACTGCCGGGGGGAGGAGGCGAGGGGAGAGTGGGGAGGCGGGAGTGGGGAGGGGAAGGAATGGGGAGAAAGGGGATGATGCGTGAAGAGAAACGGGTGGGGGGAGACGGGGACCAGAGAATTGGATCTCACAAGGCCGAATGACGGAACGAAATGCAAGGGCGACCAGAAAACACGCGAACGTGCCTTAGAACGCGTGACAAAATGCAGCTCGGAATGCGGCTCCTGAGCACAAAGCACAACCTCACCATGTCGACCGACTGCTGGATAAGCGTCGACACAAGTCAAACGCGCGCTTTAGAGAAAATTCTCGCACCAGACCCACTCACGGCGCCCTAATCGACCTGAACGAACCAGCCTGAAGGAATCGGCCTGAACGAAGGATCACGGCCACGACGACCCCTTGGCACACGTCCGGAGTAGAGGGTCTAGAGCCTAGACCTGTGATGTGCAAACTCGAGGGGGTTGAGGTGGGGGGGAAGGGCGCGGGAGAAATTGGTGGGACAAACTGCAAATGTGGGTGTGTCCGCTCCACGTCAGCACGCAGATGACGTGCGGTTCTGCGCGCCACAATTCGAGGAGAGGGATGGTACTCGATCTGGAGTTATGTACTTGTAAAGGAATTTGTTAGGTGAACAGCTATGGTAACGAGGCGTTCCGTAAGAAAGTTCTTTCTCCATACTCGGTACAGTAAAATTACACTTTGACTGATGTGCATTTTAAGGTGCACATAATTTTGTACCTCCATCCCAACTTCCTCCTCAGTTGAGCAAACCGTCTGTTCTGTAGAAACGTTCTTTTCGTAGCACTATTGCATATCCCATCCTTCCTCCTAACAGTCACTTCTACCGCCATGGCGTCAGGCCATTCCCCTTCCGCGCAAACCCTGCACCCTCCAAACCCTAATGCTCCCGACTCTCCTCCGCTCGACTTCCAGGGCGTGACTGCGGCGATCGCGGCGCTAGCAGGCGCAGTGCACGCGCTGCCCGCGGAAGACGATTTCCACTTCTACTGCAACTTCGCCGCTTTCCGCGCGCGTGTCTCCGCGCTCCGCCAGCGCGTGCGCGCGCTGCTCTCCCGCCTCGGCCCGCCTGCGCCGCCCGCCGCGTTGGCTCCCGCCGCGGGTGACCAGGATGACGCTGACGCTGACGTGGACGACGTTTATGATTGGCTAGTCGATGTGCTGGATAACCGGCTGGAGAAGGTCGACGTGGCACTTGACGAGATGCGGAAAAAGCGGAAGAATGCGCAACCGGATTGGCAGGGGCTGGAGGAGGAGGAGGCGGAGCAGCGGCGGGAAGCGCTTCTGCGCGAAGCGGGGGCGTTCGGCTCCGGTCTCGCGGACGCCGCCTTTTCCGCGCCCAAGGCGGGCGGAAAGCAGCAAGCAGGCGGAAGCATGCCGGCGGCGGAGATTGCCACGTCAGCTAGCAGCTGGCGGCGCAGCTTGCGCGGGAAGAACCGGCCGCAGGACGCGTTCGAGCCGCCTGTCGACAACTCCGACGCGCCACTCTCGTTGCCACGCCTCGAGTTCATCGAGGCGATTCGGCGCGAGGCGGAAGCGGAAAGCCCCGGAGAGGAGAGCGCTGAAGAGGAGGGGGTCGGGGGCGGGCGGGCAGGGGGAGAGTTGGAAGAGGGGGAGGAGGTGGAGGAAGGAGATGGGGGGAACGAGGGCGCGGAGGGGGAGAAGGTGCGCGGAAGGGGAGAGGGGAGAGGCAGGGGCCCTCCGCGGCTGAAGTGGAGAGCGCTGAAGGAGCGCCATCCGTTGTGGGTGAGTATCTCACAGGGTACAGGGTTCGGAGTTTCGGGTTTGGGGGTTCAGGGTTTCGGCTTCCGGGTTCAGAGATCGGGGTTCATGGTACAGGGTTCGGGTTTCGGGTTCTGGGTGTAGGGTTTGGGGCGTTTGTCCGGTGAAAGCTTACAACTGCTTTGTGGAATGCTTTTTCTTGCGTTACATTGTCACCCCAACATTCTTAGCTCAGCTTCTTGTTGTTCGTCCCACTTACCCGCTCTTCACTCTTTCACCCCTAGTCCTTGTTCTAGTCCGTCCCTCCAAACCCCCTCATCCCCACCCACCCCCCCTCTGTTTCTTGCGTGCGCCGCCCTTCCCAGCACCGGCTTCGCCACATCACCTACCAGCCCTGGCAGCTCTGCCCTCCGAACCTGCCGTCCCGAGCCACCACAACCGAACCAACCCCAGGCTCGGAACCACACCACCAACTCTCCCCCCCACCTCCCTTGGAAGACACACCCTTGGCATACGTAGAAACGCGCGAGCAGCTAGCAGCCATGGCGGAGGAGATTAAAGCCGAGAGGGAGGTGGCAGTGGATCTCGAGAATCACAACTACCGGTCGTTCCAGGGCTTCCTGTGCGTGCTGCAGCTGTCGACGAGAAGGAAAGACTATGTGGTGGACGCGGTTTCCCTGCGCGGACACATCGGACCAATACTGGGACCCATGTTTGCTGACACACGCATAGTCAAGGTGAGACTGGGGGAATCACAGCTAGTGGGCCAGGGCCTTCCAGGGCTTTCTGTGCGTGCTGCAGCTGTCGACGAGAAGGAAGGACTATGTGGTGGACGCTATTGTGCTGAGGGGAGAGATCGGGCCCGTGCTGGGACCCATGTTTGCTGACACACGCGTAGTCAAGGTGAGACCTGGAGAATCACAGCTATCGAGAGCCCCCACGGCTACTGGGCCAGGGCCTTCCAGGGCTTCCTGTGTGTGCTGCAGCTGTCGACACGGAGCAAGGACTACGTGGTGGACGCCATTGCAATGAGGGGGGAGATTGGCCCCCTGCTGGAGGGAGCCCATGTTTGCCGACCCTCACATTGTGAAGGTGATGATGTGAGGGGCGTTGGGATGAGAGCTATGCAGGTTCACTCCTCAGGGGTTTTGCAGATAGGTTTTGGCAGAGCTGTTGGCAGATGGGGTTAGGCAGAAGGGGGCTGTGCTGGTGGTGAGGTTGAGGTGATGTCGGAGGTTTAGGGTTTCGGGTTTAGGGAGAAGGGGGCTGTGAGGTGATGGGTGCTGATACGCCGCTTCTCCCTGGCGCACCTGCTGCAGCGCTACTGTGGCGTGGCGTGTCCGCCAACAAGAGCCTGCAGATGGCGGACTGGCACAAGGAGAGGCTCTGAGAGAGAGGTTTTGACTGGTACCCCTACCCCTCCCCGACCCCCACCTGCCCCCCTTCCCCTTCAGAGGTGATGCACGGGGCGGACAGCGACGTGGTGTGGCTGCAAAGGGACTTTGGCATTTTTATCGCAAATCTGTTCGACACGGGGCAGGCCTCACATGTGCTTGGGCTAGAGCGCTTCTCCCTGGCGCACCTTTTCCCCCCTTCTCCCCCTCGCCTCCCCATGCCAGGTGATGCACGGGGCGGACAGTGATGTGGTGTGGCTGCAAAGGGACTTTGGCATCTTCATTGCGAATCTCTTTGACACGGGGCAGGCCTCACGTGTGCTTGGGCTAGAGCGCTTCTCCCTGGCGCACCTGCTGCAGCGCTACTGCGGGGTCACGGCCAACAAGAGCCTTCAGATGGCGGACTGGCGCGTGCGGCCGCTGCCAAGTGATATGCTCAAGTATGCCAGGGAAGACACGCACTATTTGCTCTTCCTGCACGACTGCCTTCGGCTGGAGCTCGCTGCGTCTGCCGGTGGTGGTGGTGGTGCTGCTGCTGCTCGGGCTGATGGGAGGATGGATAAAGGGAAGGCTTGCGGTGAGGCGAAGGAGGAGGGAGAGGAGGAGGATGAGGAAGGGGAGGTCCATGATGATGATGAGGAGGAGGAGGAGGAGGAGGAAAAGGGGGAGGAGGGAGAGGGAGGGAAGCAGCAGGGGTATGGCGAGCCGTGCCCTGCTATCCTAGAGGCAAGTTCCTGATGCAGCTCTTTTTCTCTCTCGCTTTGCTTGTGTAGTCCCTCTCCTAGCGTGTGCGAACTGTTCCACTGTTGTTGTCGGCTCAAGCCATCAAGCCATCAAGCCCCTACACAGGCCCTGATAGCTCTTCTCACTCCTCTCACGCCCTTGCTGCTTGCCCCCCTTCGCCCCTCGCCCTTCGCCCTTCGCCCCTCGCCCTTCGCCCCTCGCCCCTCGCCCTTCGCCCTTCGCCCCTCGCCCCTCGCCCCTCGCCCCTCGCCCCTCCCCTTCGCCCCCCTGTCCATGCAGGTGTTGAAGCGCAGTAGGGACGTGTGTCTGCTGCTCTACTCCAAGCCACAGCGCACCACACACGCCCTGACAGTTCTCCTCACCCCTTGCCCCCCTCCTCCCCCCCTTCCCCATATTTTTTCCCTCTCCCCTCGTCCTCTGCAGGTGTTGAAGCGCAGTCGGGACGTGTGTCTGCTGCTCTACTCCAAGCCACAGCGCGCCTTCCACTCCTTCCTCCGCAACAACAGGTCAGCCCTCCCAACTCTGTTTGCCCAAACCAACCCTTCTAGATGAACCCAAACTCTCCACCAAGCTAACCACCGATCGCGATGTGGTCGCAGGGCTCTTGTGGTTTATCCAACTCGAATGACTCGAGTGAATTAAAAGTTCAGATGAAGTCACAAGAATTTTGTGTTTTTTTTGTTGCTCGGTTTTATCTCCCGTGCCTGACTGCACTTGTTGGTTCCTCCATGCAGGTTAAGCACAGAGGCCTTCACCGAGGAACAGATGGCTGTGCTCTCTGTAAGACACACGTGCCTCTCCTCTGCATTTTTTTTTTGTTTTTGTTTTTTTTTCCGAATTTCAAAGTGCACCCACACAGGCTTGTGCAGTTTCTGTGCTTGCTATGCTGTTTCGTGCAACGCATTGCCATCTCATGCAAACCCATGCCACCATTCCGTTCTCTGTGCCATCCATGCCACGTCATCGCCATCAGGCGCTGTACACGTGGCGAGATCAGACGGGCAGGGAGTGCGATGAAGGGCTGGGATACGTCATGCCCAACCACCTGTTGCTCAAAGTCGGTGCGTTCCCCTACCTGAAGGCCCCCGTGATTGATTGTCCTGCACGAATCACATCCCAGTGATCGGCAGCTCATTAAATGGGAAAGGCTATAGCACATAAGATGATAGCAACTAGGCAGGGAGTGCGATGAGGGGCTGGGATACGTCATGCCTAACCACCTGCTGCTCAAAGTCGGTGAGTTACCCACCCATGATTGCCCCCCATGGTTTCTCTGTGTCATTGCGCTGCATGACTCAGATTCCAGTGGGATTGTCATAACACTCACTTGTTAACAGTCTCGCCCTGCACGTTTTGCCTTCTTTGCTGCTCTGTCTGTCTTTCCCTGTCACTCGGAGCACGTTTGAAAGTGGGCATGTCCCGTGCTATCAAAAAGCTTCTTTTGCTTCTCCTCCCCACTCTCCCTCATTCGCTCCTATTCAGCACGTGACATGCCCACCTCCGAACGTGCTCTCCGAACCTGCCTCCGAGGTTCGGCACCTCTGGTGGCTCGAAATGCTGCAACTATCACCCGAATAATCAGCCAGATCAAAGATTCTGCTGACCTGGCAACGTCCACTCTAGAGTCGCCAGCTGTCGTCGCGGCACGGCATGCTGCCACGTCAGGCAAAGACCCCTTTGCTCCTGGCACTCCGGCTGCTGCAGCTGCCGCCGCTGCTGTTGCTGCTGCTGCTGCCCGTGCTGCTGCCGCTGCTGGTGTGGCTCCTGGTGCTGCCGCTGCTGCTGTCACTGCTGATGCAAGTGTCCAACCAACAACTGCCATAACTGCATCTGTAGCACCGCCTGTAGCAGCGGCTGTAGCGAAGGTGAAGGTGAAAAAAGCAGCAGCTAAGTCTGGGTTTGGGGCACTCCTGGGGCAAAAGCGACCTGCTAAAGCCGCAGGAGCCGCGGGAGGAGCAGCTGTAGCAGCTGGAGCAGGGGCAGCAGGAGCATTAGTAAAGCCCTTGGCAAAAGCACAGAAGACGGATGGCGCTGCTGCGAAAGATGACCTGGCGGCACGAGTTCGAGCAGCCATGGGAATTGTACCGCAGCCAATGGGATCGAAGAAAGTTGCTTCACGGGCAGGTGAAAAACATGGAACTGCGGAAGGTGAGGGGAAGGTGGCAGCTGAAGGTAGGGGACAGGAAGGAGAAGGGGGGAATGGTGGGGAAGCAGAGGGAGGTGAGGGGGGAGGAGGGGGCGGAGGGGAAGCCGGGGGGGTAGGGGGAGCAGGGAAGGGTGGAGAAGCAGGGGGCGGGCAGAAGAAGCGGCAGCGACCAGCCAAGTCTCCGGCTCATGTGGCTGCTGCGGTGGCGGCGGCAGCAGCAGCAGCACGAGCAGCCAGAAAAGCCGGAAGCCAGGCAGAGGGCGAAGGGGGCGGAAGCGGGGCGGGAGTGAGTGGTGGAGTTGAGGCAGGGGGGGATCTGCCAGCTCCTCTGAGTGCTGCCTTTGATGCGGAGGAAGGCAGGCGGGCACAGAGGAAGAAGAGACGCATGCTCAAAGCTGCTGCTGCTGCTGCCGCCGCTGCTGCTGGTGCTGCTGGTGCTGCCATTAGCGATGCTGCTGGTGCTGGCGCTGGGGCAAACGATGTTGACGGTGTTGGTGATGGTGCAGGGTCTGGGTCTGGTGCCGGTGATGCAGCTGATGCTGATGCTGCAGCTGCAGCTGCAGAAGGGGGGGACGTTGGTGTTGAGGGCAAGGCATCAGCACAGTCACAGTCACAACAGCCAGCTAAGAAGGGTGCTGGTGGGGGGCAGCGCAAGAACCTGGTTTCAGAGGCGTTTCAGAGAGCTGCGGAGGGGGAGGAGAGGCGCAAGAAGAAGAGGAGGAGTGGGACTGGAGGGTTGTGTGGCTCGGATTCAGAGGAAGAGGAGGAGGAGGAGGAGGAGGAGGGGCTTCGCATGGTGCATGATAGTGAGGATGATGACGATGATGATTCTGACGGTGGTGGTGGTGTTTTCGGTGGTGACGATAGCGATCATGATGAGGATGGTGTGGCGAAGGGAAAGCGGAAGCTTCCTGGTCGGCAGCAGGAGGAGGATCAGGAAGGATTCGCGCGGCTTGAGATTTATGATTTCTCGGCGGAGAAGGAGGAGTTTGGGCTGGATGCACAGCATGTGGCGGCCAGCGAGGCCATGGCTCTGGGTCCTTCGGCAGATAAGAAGAAATGGAACAAGCGTGGTGCTCCTAAGTTCTCTGTGCCGCTGCCTGCGGCTGCTGCTGCAGCAGCTGCGGATGCTGCTGCCTATGCTGGAAAGCAGGGTGGTGGGGATGAGGGAGGGCGAGGTAGTAAGAGTGCGGTGTTTGATCCGTTGCAACCGATTGCGGCTGGAGCGGCCAAGAGAGGCTTGGCTTATGATGCGCCGAGGGGTGGGAAGAGGCCGCAAGTGTTTCCTTCGTCTGGAAACAGGAGTGCCACATTCATGGATTGATTCAGGCAGGGTGATGCTGTTGCGGCCCGTTTCAGAGTTCGTTTTTGGTAGTTCAACCGCCTAGTTATGGAGGGGGGTTGAATGGATTGAAATGTTGGGGATAGTAAGGGATTTTGTGTAATTTGTTTCAGTTACCTGATGCATAAGCAGTCTGGACTAGTGTGTGTTTTGCGAGGGCGTATTGACTCGCGTCCTGGTTGTCATTGACGAGAATATTGTGACGCGAGTTCCCCAATCATATTTCTGGCGCTGCGTTGACTCTTGAGCTGCACGACAAACTGTGTCGTGGTGGTGGGCAGCAATTGGGCTGCAAGCGAACATCCAGGGGTCGTGGAAAGAGGGTTACAAACTCTTCGTCAAGATCGCGACCTCACCACCATTCCACAGAACTTGGGAGGGAGGCTGGCAGTGAGGAAGGAAACAGAACAGCACACTGCCCCAGCGCAGGGGTCACTATGCGCCCCTATCTGCGGTTCCTCGCACCCGAAATATCCGCAAAATCTGGTGCTGTTTTCCTGATGGGGGGGCGCAGAGCAAGGGAGGGGGACTTGCCAGGCAGCCACAGATTGCAGGCCTCGCCAGCATTTCAGAGAGGGAAAAACGGGGCTGAAATGTGGTGGCTGGGGGGCTGGAGTGAGGGAAAAGGGTCGCCAGGAGAACCAGTCACTCTACTGCTTCCCCTTTTGTCATTGTTTTGGTAAGGATACCTCGTGTGCTCAAGCGAGTCCCCAAAACGCTGGTGTTTGACAGCAAAATTTATTCTCTGCTCGCAGCTGGCACGACCCTCAACCCCCGATTTTTTCCGTGTCAATACTCAAGATTCCAGGAATTTGTTGAAACAATTGAGCAAGATCCGGGTAGATGAAAATTGACCTGGAAACCTCAGGGCTTCTCAAAACAGAAAATTTGCAGTGCAACCCATCCGACAGTCACAGTTGAGTGGGTGGAAGGCTGGACGCCGAACGAAGTCTCGAGATTGACGTGACCAGCAGCGAAACAGAAACATGAAAACATGGGAGATGCCGAGATGCCATGGACATGAGAGATGAGAGCACCTGTCTGTACAGTAATCTCGCAAATGTTTCAGCCAAAGATTCTTGCCAGTTCAAGCAGGCTCCTTGAAAAAGCAGGTGGCGTTAGCTATGTCTTCTGATGTCGGACCGCACTTGTCACTTCGTTCAAAAGCGTAACATGGGGTTCGGATGAAACAAGAGGAATCCGACATTTTCCGCACGACCGCTGGATGGCTCGCGATGATGTAGCATTGAACGGACAAACTTAGGTAGCTTTTTGTGAATGAGCCGTTGCGTAGCAAGGAGCGGCATCGTGGATTGGTGGATGTGACCTGTCGACGCGTACGGAAGAGCCAGCTTCAATGTCGCCGTAGCCTTATCGTTTTCGATCAGGGCGTTGCGTTTCGCCATGATTCTGGGGTTGTAGAGGCCTACAGCGCGTCGCGTACAGCTGGGGTTTTCTATTCATGTTCCTGTGATTTCTTAGTTACCTCGTAACGGTACCGTGCTCAGGAGTCATGACCATGCATCTCATGACACCAAATAGTCCTATAATCCGTAGCACCCTCGGCTCGAACCAATCCAGGCTGTAGCTGCAGCAGGAAATAAGTTCGCTGTAGCCCATTGCCGCATTTCCTGTACAAACAGATTCGATTTAATTTATAATGGATTCCGACGCCATGGATGTAGACATGGATGATAGCGGTTCCCCACGCGCCGGCACCAGAAATACGTCTTTAGGAGGCGTCGATTCGACTCCACCAACAGCTAGAAGCCCGTCTCCTGTGGCCGAATCGTCTCCACCGGACCCCACCCCTCTTTCACCCACCCAATCCACCCATCTTGCACCGACCCGATCCGCCGAATCGGCCCTACCCATCCTAACCACCCCTCCGTCCGGCATTTCAGCCCATCCATCCCCTTCGATACAACAACCATCCGAACCATCACCCCCTGAGCCGTCTGCTACAGTACCATCCGCTACAGTCACCTCAGGAAACGCACCAAGTACGGCATTGCGCTCCCCCTCAATACCTTCCCCATCTGCTCCGATGTCCCGGTCCCCGGGAATGGCGTCACCCGGAGGATACTCCTCCGGTAATCCCTCGGGAATCAATTCCCCTAGCGTGCATTCCGGAGTAAAGCGGCTCTCTGCAGAGGATCGCCAACGGCTAGCTAATATGCTGCGCGCGCTGCAGCTGCAGCAGCAAGCGCACGCGGAAGCGCCCGCTCCCGCCTCCGCGGAAGCGAGCGCTGGCGCAAGCAGGCCGGCGGAAGGCGGAGCGGAACGTCCCGCGGAAGCTGGCGCAGAGAGGGGAGCGGATATGGCGGTGGATGCGCCGGCGTGCGCGCAGGGGGGGGAGCGGGAGAGGCAGGGGCGCGACATGGGGGGGGCGAATGGGGAAGCAGCGGGGATGTGGGGCGAATCGCCGTCGTCGCCGTCGTCTCCTCCTCCTGGGGGCGCCATGAGGTGCGGAAAGATGGGAGGGCCAAGCGGGTCCCCATGGGGACCCGTGAGGCACGGCGAGCGGGAGGCGAGAGAGGGAGGAGAGAGGGGAGAGGGAGGGGAGGAGAGAGGAGAGGAGAGAGGGGGAGAAAGGGGGAGTGGGGGGGCAAGAGGGGAGGCTAGGGGGGAGGCGAGAGGATGGGATTGGGAGGAGAGAGGGAAGGCAAGAGAGGAGACGAGAGGAGTTGCTAGAGTGGAGGTGAGGGAGGAGGCGAGAGTGGAGGTGAGAGGAGGGGAGAGAGGGGAGGCGAGGGGGAAGCCATTAGGTGAGGCGTGCGGGTGTGGGGAGAGGTGTGGGGGGAGAGAGGTATGGGGAGAAATCTGGAAGAGGTAGAGGAGAGATTTGGGAAGATTTATGGGAAGATTTAAGGTAAAGTGAGGAGAGGCGAGAGAGGAGGCAGGAATGGGAGGCTGAGCTGCGTACTGGGGAGGGGGGGTTGGAGGCTGAAGGAATCACATGCGAGGTAGGGTGAGGTTTCGGAGGAGTGAGGGAGGATTTCTCAAAGAACTTGCGAATATGAATGGCAAGAGAGAGGAGAGGTGGCATTCGCAAATGAGGGAAGGGGTATTGGTCCATTTGGGGCAATAGGTGACTTGTGTGAGAGCAGAAGGTGTGAACAAAGAGCAGAGGATGTGAAGAGAGAGCAAGCACCCTGCACCGCCCACTCAGTTCGCAAATTCATGTGATATCACTCCCTCCCTGCCCCCCGTCCCAACGCGTCACACAAGTCGCAAGGACCACACGAGTCGCCAGCACTCGGGCACGCTGGTGCGGCCAGGTGTGCCTATTCGTTCATATGCTCTCCCTCTCCATCCCCCATCCCCGTGCATGCATCCCCAGCCGCAAGGACATTCTGGAAATAGTGCGCAAGCATTCAGGTGCGCTGGTGCGGCCAGCGGCGTCACGGGACGGGGCGGGAGCGGAGGCGGCGCAGACGGCGCTGATGATGGACCGGCAGTACTGGCGCGAGATGGCAGACCTCTTCTTTGTGCGCGGCGTGCAGCTGAGGGGGGACGCAACCCAAGACGGTTCTTTCCGGGATGTTGTGTTCTTCGTGAGGGACGAGGTGCGCTTGCAGTGGCTTGAGGTGGGATGGAGGTGAGGTGGGATGGAGGTGAGGTGGGATGGAGGTGAGGTGGGATGGAGGTGAGGTGGGCTAGAGGTGAGGTGGGATGGAGGTGAGGTGGGATGGAGGTGAGGTGGGCTAGAGGTGAGGTGGGATGGAGGTGAGGTGGAAGGGGCGCAGACGGCGCTGATGATGGACCGGCTGTACTGGCGGGAGATGGCAGACCTCTTCTTTGTGCGCGGCGTGCAGCTGCGGGGTGATGCCACTCAAGATGGGTCGTTCGGGGACGTGGTGTTCTTTGTCAGAGACGAGGTGGGTAGGTGAAAGGGAGGTGCGTCACCTGTGGGATGACATTGTGCCGTGGTTGCTGCCGTGGTCCCTCCCACTCACCCGTCCCTCCCACTCACCCGTCCCTCCCACTCACCCGTCCCTCCCACTCACCCGTCCCTCCCACTCACCCGTCCCTCCCACTCACCCGTCCCTCCCACTCACCCGTCCCTCCCACTCACCCGTCCCTCCCACTCACCGGTCCTTCCCACTCACCTAGCCCTCCCACCCACCATCGCTCCCACTCACCCATCGCTCCCACTCACCCAACCCTTCCACTCAACCAACCCTCCCACCACCCATCCCTCCCACCCACCCGCCACCCATGTGCAGTCGCCTGCAGCAACACCCTGTCAGGCAGATGGGGGGTGCGATGGCGCGGGGTGCTGGCAGGCAGGGGCGAGGGCATGGAAGCCGTGGAGAGACGCCTCTCTCCCATTCACCCATTCGTCCCTCCCAACTCACCCTCCCACCCACCCACCCTCACTTCCATGTGCAGTCGCCTGCAGCAACACCCCGTCAGGCAGGTGGTGGAGCCGAGGGCGCAGGGGACATGGCAGGCAGGGGCGAGGGCATGGAGGCAGTGGAGAGACGGCGGCCTTACTTCGCCAGACGCAGGCAGAGCAGCGTGAGTGGGCTGTGATTTTTGTCGTTTGGGGCTGTCTACTTGCCTGTTAACTGCGCCGTGCTTCCCATGCACCATGCTTGTCTGCCATGCCTGTCTGCCATGCCTGTCTGTCACGCTTGTCTACCATGCCTGTCTGCCACGCTTGTCTGCCATGCCTGTCTGACTCACTTCTCTCCTCCATTCCCTGCACCACTCCACACCCCTCTGCACTCCTGTACACGTGGCGACAGCTGGGGGAGATTCTGGGCGGAAGTGGGGAGAGCATAGACTGGCGGCGCACCTTCTATCTGAACCTCATCTGCCACACTGACTACTCCCTCACCATCGCTGTCTGCAGGTTAGCTGCTCTCAGCTGTTCTGTCCGCTACTCTGTGCTGTGTGTGGGTGAGCTGTGCGTGTGGATGGGCTGTGTGGGTGCGTGTGGTAGTTGTGAGCATAGACTGGCGGCGCACCTTTTATCTGAACCTCATCTGCCACTCTGGATAATCCCTCACCATCGCCGTCTGCAGGTCTGCTGCTGATAGATATGCTGTCCACTGCTCACTGCTGTGTTTGGGTGAGCTGTGCGGGTGGGCTGTGTGGGTGGGCTGTGTGGGGGTGGTGAGTGGTTTTTGTGATTGGACTGGCGGCGCACCTTCTATCTGAACCTCATCTGCCACACCGACTACTCGCTCACCATCGCCGTCTGCAGGTCTGCTGCTCTCTGCTCTGTGTGTGTGTGGGGGGGGGGGGGGGGGGGGGGGTTGTGTTCGGATGAGCTGCATCGGTTGTGTTCAGGTGAGCTGTGTGGGTGTGAGTCGTTGCTGTGTTTAGACTGCCCCAGTTAATACGAGGGCATAAATTAGAGTGGCCCCGGCGCACCTTGTATCTCTACCACACCGACTACTCGCTCACCATCGCCGTCTGTAGCTGTGTGTGAGTAGGTGAGGTGTGTGAGGGTGAGCTGCACGCGGGTGACCTGTATACAAGTGAGTTGTAACTGCGTGATTTGACCTGCAGGTAGCACACGCACACACATATGCAGGCACACTGTCTGACACACACCATCGTCCCCACAGCCCACCAGTGTCCACACCCCTGCACTCCTGCTCACCCTGCCCCTGCCTGCCTCCCCTGCCCTCCTGCCCTCCTGCCCTCCTGCCCCCCACTCTCTCCCCCCACTCTCTCCCCACACCAGTCGCACGGCCCTGGAGAACCAGAAGCGGTCAGGACGAGCCGTGCCGCCCATAATGAAGGTACTGTGTGCCTTTCCCCCCATGCTGTTCCCCGTCATGCCATCTCTCTCATCCTCCTCCAGCCCCCACAACCCCCGTCGCCCCCCCTCCATTTTCCATTGAGCCCCCTTTCCAAGTTTCTCCTTGCCAATTTGTCATCCCATCAATGCATCCTCATCCCATCCCCCCATGCCATTCCCCCCATCCCATCTCCGCACGCCATCCCCCCATTCATTTTCCCCATGTCATCTCCCTGTACCATCCTTCACTGCTCCAGGTGACAAGGCGAGCATACGCCTCCCCCAGTAGAGCCCTCATCGACACCAGCCTTCCCCTGCCCCCATCCACGTCACAGGCAAGTGGGCCGTGTAGCGGGGAGGCTTGTAGTGGAGACCAGCGTGCGGGCATGTGGGGCAGGCATAGTGGGAAGGCTCGAGATAATGGGCACCCTAGTCCAGCGAGCGGATGGCACTCAAGGTGACTTTTGAGTCGACTCAAAAGTCACCATGTGGGGCAGGCAGTAGAGGGGAGGCTTGAGATAATGGGCTCCCTAGTTCAGCGAGCGGATGGCACTCACTCCATTCCATGCATGCGTGCACACAAGCACATGGCATGGCTGGCTGCCCACGAGACCATGGCATGTTGGCATGCAAGCACATGTGACACAGCGGTCCACTGCAGCACATCCGCCCTGCTGGATCCCGCGATCGTCCGGTATTCTGTCCCTCACCTCTGCGCTGCGCCCCAGACCCATGGCACAGACACACACCTGTCTACGTCCACGCAGTCCCACCCGTTCACCATGTTCACGTGATGCTGCAGGGTGTTTTTGAGAATTCTCAAAAACACCCCACACCTGTCTACGTCCACGGTCCACCACGTTCACCATGTTCACATTCCATCCATCCTGCATCCCTCCTCCATGCCTTTCTGCCTTCCCCCCCAGCAGGACCCAGAGGTGACAGAGGCGTTTCCCAACATCTGCTTCGCCATTGACTCCTCTGACCGCGCCCCACAGTGCCCCACACATAGACAAGTCACTCCGCTCTGTGCCCCCGTTCCCCCCCCCCCACCGCCTTCTCTGCCCCTCTCCCCCCCAGCAGGACCCGGAGGTGACAGAGGCGTATCCCAACATCTGCTTCGCCATAGACTCCTCTGACCGCGCCTTCGAGTCCGTGGTGGGTTTTGCTGGGCTCTCTCAGCTATGCCCTCTGTGCATCATGCCCCATGCTCTATGCGCCATGCGACATGCCCCATGCTCTATGCGCCATGCGACATGCCCCATGCTCTATGCGCCATGCGACATGCCCCATGCTCTATGCGCCATGCGACATGCCCCATGCTCTATGCGCCATGCGACATGCCCCATGCTCTATGCGCCATGCGACATGCCCCATGCTCTATGCGCCATGCGACATGCCCCATGCTCTATGCGCCATGCGGCATGCACCATGCACCATGCACCATGCACTATGCACCATGCCCCATGCCCCATGCCTCATGCCCCATGCACCATGCCCCATACTCCATGCGCCATTCCCCATGCTCCATGCCCCACGCCCCATACTCTACGCCCAGTGACTCATACCTCTTGCTGCATGCATCATGCTGCAGTACAGCAAGCCTCATACTCCAAACTCCATACCCCATGCCTCATGCCTCCCCAGGTGCTCAGGGGCAGCGACCACGGTTTTTTGTGTTGCTGAGCGCGCACAGGGGGGCGGCCTTCCCTGCTCAGGACACTGTTGAGAAAACCCTCGCGGATGGCCAGCGCCCAACACACTGCCCCATGCCCCATGGACAATGACCAATGCATACACACACCCCACATACCCCATGCCCCGTGCCCTGTGCCCCCCTCTTCCCCACACCCCCAGGTGCTCAAGGGCAGCGACCACTGCTTCTGTGTGCTGCTGAGTGCGCACAGGGGGGCGGCCTTCCCCGCCCAGGATACTGTTGAGAAGACCCTCGCGGACGGGCAGCGCCGCGTGCTGCAGCGCGGCACCAGCAGCGAGGCCAAAGTGCTGGGAGAGGCGTCAGGCGATGGACCCAAGGTGAGGAGGGGTGGGGTTGGGAGAGGCGTCAGGCGATGGACCCAAGGTGAGGAGGGGTGGGGTTGGGAGAGGCGTCAGGCGATGGACCCAAGGTGAGGAGGGGTGGGGTTGGGAGAGGCGTCAGGCGATGGACCCAAGGTGAGGAGGGGTGGGGTTGGGAGAGGCGTCAGGCGATGGACCCAAGGTGAGGAGGGGTGGGGTTGGGAGAGGCGTCAGGTGTCAGTTGATGGCAAATAGAGCGAGGGATGGGGGGAGAAGAAAGGCTTTTGTGGGGTGACTCCTTAGGTCTTCTGCAGTGAGGCACTAGCCACGAGGCTTAAGTGCTGGGGGAGGCGTCAGGGGACGGGCCTAAGGTAAGTGGAGTGAAGGGGGTTGGATGAGGAAGTGAGGGGGTTGGGGACAGCCGTGCGGGGTGCCATAGAAGGCATGTTGCAGCGTGGCACCAGTAGCGAGGCCAAAGTGCTGGGGGAGGCGTCGTCAGGGAACGGGCCCAAGGTGAGGAGGGGTGGGGATGGGGAGGAGAAGGTGAGAGGGTTGAGGAAGGGGGAGGAACCTTGCGGACGGGCAGCGCCGCGTGCTGCAACGCGGCACCAGCAGCGAAACTCAAGTCCTGGGGAGGTGTCAGGGGACGGTCCCAAGGTGAGGAGGGGCAGGTGTGGGGAGGGTGGGGGTTGGATGAGAGGGCTGGGGGGGAGGCTTCAGGGAATGGGCCCAAGGTGTGTTGGGTGGGAGATGGGGAAAGGCTGGGAAGATGGGTAAGAGGGGAAGTGAGATTGGTGAGATGAGGTTTAGGAAGGGAAGGGCAAGGAGGTGACAGAGAGTGAGTGAAAGGAGTGGGGTGACAGAGAGTGAGTGAAAGGAGTGGGGTGACAGAGAGTGAGTGAAAGGAGTGGGGTACGAAGAATGGCCCTCTCTATGCCCTCTGTCAATAATTCTGTATCCCCCATCACCCGTGCTGACTTCTAAGTCGACTCATAAGTCAGCTTTTGAGTCGACTCAAAACCCATCACCCATGATACATGCCACGCCATACTCAACTCAAGCCACGATCCGTGCCGTGACTCATGTCTCACGTCATGCCATTCTCCATGCCCATGCCCGCGCAGATCACACTCTTCTCTGGCTTTGTGAGCTACCCCATGCTCAAGACCTCCTTCCAAGGTGCGTCATTTGAGGCAAGAATGGTAGTTTGAGGCTCCTAAAGAATTTCGTTTCGGGCTTTGTGAGCTACCCCATGCTCAAGACCTCCTTCCAAGGTGCGTCCATCCCTCCCAAGCTTACACCTCGCTGAGGTGGTGTTGTAGGCGCATAAGAAATCACCTCAATGTCCGACAATATCACGCTCGCCTCATAAGCATATCACGCCCGCCTCATAAGCATATCACGCTCGCCTCATAAGCATATCACGCTCGCCTCATAAGCATATCACGCCCGCCTCATAAGCATATCACGCTCGCCTCATAAGCATATCACGCTCGCCTCATAAGCATATCACGCTCGCCTCATAAGCATATCACGCTCGCCTCATAAGCATATCACGCTCGCCTCATAACCATATCACGCTCGCCTCATAACCATATCACGCTCGCCTCATAAGCATATCACGCTCGCCTCATAAGCATATCACGCTCGCCTCATAAGCATATCACGCTCGCCTCATAAGCATATCACGCTCGCCTCATAAGCATATCACGCTCGCCTCATAAGCATATCACGCTCGCCTCATAAGCATATCACGCTCGCCTCATAAGCATATCACGCTCGCCTCAGGCTTTTTGTGCTACCCCATGGTCAAGTCCTCCTTCTAAGGTACACCGTACGCTGCCTAAGCTCTTAGCTTACCAGATTCGGATTCTTCAACTAAGCTTTTAGTTGCTTGTGTGGTTGTTGCGCTGCATTCCAATCCCCCCCTCCGCACCCCTCCGTTTCCCCAGCAGGTCTCTTCTCCATGTGGGGTTCTGCGTCCCCCTCCCCCATGAAGCCAGCCGGGCTGGTTCTCCGTGGCCCGGGGGCCAAAGGAGCCGCCAACCCCACACCACTCACTCTTAACCACCCTCCACTGCCCTTACAACCCCCTCCCTCCCCCCCCTCCCCCGGCAGGTCTCTTCTCCATGTTTGGATCCACGTCCTCCTCCCCTATGAAACCAGCCGGGCTGGTTCTCCGTGGCCCGGGGGGCAAAGGAGCCGCCAACCTTGCAGTCTGCCCCCTCCCCCTTCCTCCACTTCCCCCCAAGCCGCCACTCTCCCCTCGGCCCCCGCTCGCCCCCAAACCCCCTCTCTCCCCCCGGCACCCCTCTCGGACCCACACGTCTCGGCCCTCCCACTCTTCTCACTCTCAGCCGTCCTCTCGGTTCCAACTCCCACCATCCCAGCAGCCTCTTTCCCCCTCGGCCCGCTCCCAACATGCTCCTCCCTCCCTCTCCTCCCCCACCCATCCCAACTCCCCCCCACCGCAACAGTCACCTACCCACCCTTCCCTCCTGTCTCCAACCAGCCCTCCCCAGCCATCACCCACCAGCCCATTACACCCAAACCGCCCCCAACCGCCCAATTGCCCTCCAAAATCCAACCACTCGCCATCACAGAATAACCCATCCGCATCCGGCCGTCCGTCCAGCGTTCCGGTGCAATCCGGCCGTCCATCGAGGCCGTTGCATCGGCGCATGCCGTCGCTGCAGGAGCTGCAGAGCAAGCTATGGGCAGTGCAAGCAGAGCTCATGGACCTCCTGGAGTTAGAGGCCCAATCTGCTGCCAACACTGTCGCCGCCGCCGCCGCTGCTGCTGCCACTGCTTCTGCCACTGCTTCTGCTGCTGATGGTGGCGCTGGTGGTGTGGCAAAATCTGCAAGTACGGATGGTGCCGGTGCTGCAACTGTTGCTGGTTGTGGAGATGGTGACGACAGGGACAGCATGATGCAAGTGGAAGAGGGCAACCTCTCAGCTGAGCGAGATTCTGCCAGCCTCGATCCCGCTGCCTCTGCTGCTCCGCCTCCTGCAGCTGATGATGCTGCTGATGTGGATGCTGACGGCATGCAAACAGAAGGACGCGATGCAGATTCAGCAGCAATGGCAGCACCATCATTTTCTCCCTCTCCACCCCTACCCACTCCGCCTCCTCCTCCCGCCTCCCACTCCCCACCCTCCCCATCCCCGCCCTCCCCTTCCCCAACCACTCCCCTCCCCCCAGCACGCACCTTCCAGCAGCAAATCCCCTCCGCCCTTCCCCCAGCAAAGCCAGCCAAGGAGGAGGCACGGAGGCTGCGGCTGCTGGAGCTACAGGGGGAGCTGCGGCTAGTGCAGGAGCAGCTGCAGATGCTGCAGTCTCAGAGCAAGGGCAAGCGCCCGCACCCCTCTGATCACCACCACCGGCAGCGGCCCCCTCCATCCCGATCCATGCAGGCCTCACGGGGGAAAGCCAGAGGGCCTGGTGCCGCTGGTGCTGGCAGTGCTGGGGGTGTTGGTGGTCCTGATAGCGTTGGTGTAAGAGGAAGTGGCAGCAACGGTGGGGAAGGAGAGGAAGGGGGGCGGGAGGGGAGTGAGAGCAGTGGCGGGTCGTCGAGGCTGCTGCAGCGGCCAGTAGTGGCTTCCCCGCCAGTAGCAGGCACCCCTCGAAGAGCCATGGTGCATCAGGATGGAAACAGCCCCACTGCCAGACACCCACATGGCCACACTGCTTCAGGTGGAAACTCAGGAGAATCACCTGAAGGATCACCTGGTGGCCGTAGCTCAGGTGGTAGCAGCAGCAGACCAGGCAGCAGCAGGGCAGGTGGCAGCAGTCGTTCCCTTGGACCTGCTGGTGCTGGTGGTGGTAGTGCGGGTGGTCTTGCTGCATCGTTGCTGCAAGGAGGGATCGGTAGAGCAGCAGGAGTAGTGAGAGAGGAGCCTCTGCGGTGCTGCCTGGCGTCTCTCTCCCTGCCTTGGGAGTCACTTGCCTTTGACCTCCTCTTCAAGGTACCATCTCCTTGCCATGTCCTTCACTCACTCTCACTCTCCCTCCCCTCCCTTATGATTTTTCACTTTCTTGTTCCTGGGCCTTGTCTCCCCTGCCATGCCCATCCTGTTTCTCCCCTCCTCCCTTGAGTGGTTTTTCCGGTCTCAGTATTTCTGCCTCACTGTGTGCATCCCCAACGTGTGCTGTGGTGTTGTGCAGGAAATGCCAGTCAAGGTGGACATTGGTGGTCGGATTTTTCCCCCTCCTCGGAATCCTCCCAGCGCAGAAGACTTTTGAGCAGAATTTGACTTGCCAATGTTTCTAGGGGACAGCTTTCCAAATCCCGTTGTTGGCCAAGTTCTTGCACTGAGTGCCAAACGCACTTTGTGTAACCAGGTTAAGTTAGTTACATGTAGCAGTGTGGGTGCACACCTAGTTACCACACAATACTTTGTGTGGCTTGAGAGACACCGTGCGATGTAAGAGTTCATAAGGTATGTTTATCAGTTGCATTGATCACATCACACATGGTTCAACCTCCCTATCAGACAAGATGTACTTAGCATCAGGCCACACAATGGTTGCAATACCGTAAGATGGACAGCAATGCACCATGCATTGCACCATAGTACTCCAATATGAGGATTAGGGAGCTTTTGACTGGAAAATTCCCTAGTTAGCTATTTGGTGTGATATTTTCAACCAGCATCATGCACAAGGATTATCCTATCAGTTAGGGTAGCTTGCATGCACGACTTTGCGTCTAATGACTCTAGTACACATGTCAAAGCAATCCGTTATCAAGCTTACTTCTGGCGATTCCTAGGTGCAACAATAGCGGAGCCTCGCAATATCTGATGGTATCGAGCGTAGGAGCACCGTCCGATTAGAAAGCCGATTTAACGGTCCGATCGCAACCAGCGCTGACAGCTCCACCAGTGTTGCTGATTCGGCGCTGACGTTCCCAGAGTCGTCGTCAACCGACGAAACCCTCATTGTTCGCGCCACAGACTACATCAAACAACGAACGAACCCTGACGGAAGCATTTTGAAGTAGCATTTTCGAGAACAGAAACCGTCAGCCGTAGTGCGACAGCGTTGTCGTCAGGGTTTGTTCGATGGCAGGTCTAGCACAGAGCGAGTCTAGCACAAGAGTTCTTGGAGACCCTGTTGGGTCTGAGGGAAGGTCCCCACATGAGGTCTTGCTCTTCAACTCACTGCAAGTCGGCCATGAAGTATACGAAGTGGTAGGCCTTTGCCTTCCTTAGCTAGGAGTCTTATGGAGTTATTTCTAGTTGTAGTACATTGACAGCTAATATATGTTCTTCCGCCTTTTCAGGGAGACTCTGTACTACTGAGGTCTTGCCGTTCTGAGTACGATGTCGTCTTCATTCGTGTAAGTTTCTTCTCCGTAGCTCTTCCCTCTTTATAGTGCTTTTGAACGCTACATTAGAGCGTACTTTTCGTGTACTTACGCCGTTGTTTTTAATCCTGTGCAGCAAATCAGGGTCAACCCGGATGGTGGTCTCGAAGTGAAAGGTCAATGGCTTTATCGGGAGCAACTTCTTCCGTTCTCAAAAGAGCATGGCAGAAGCTCGGTCGAAGCCAGGGCAACCACTACAGATGAACTTTTCGGAAACAGCAAAAGGACATGTGTTCCCTCGGATCCACGGCAGCTGTTTTATTCCTTTCACTACGAGTCCTTCGTTCCCGAGACAATAGTACGGAAGTGCAGCGTCGTTGTTATCCCGCCGTCCAAAGCTCTGCCTTCAACAAGTGAGCTTTCGGATTTTGTGGTGTCATATGTATATGACGTTCAAAGTCACCGTCTACTGACTGTGACCGACAAGTTCCTTCCCAGGGAACATCATGACGAGCTTGCGACGGCACTTGCTCGGTCTAAGGAGAAATGGGAGTCGCTCGTGGAGCATGCGCCCAGAGAGCTTCAAGAGAGCAATAAGGTCAACCTTGTGTGTTCAAGTTCAAACAAGCGCTCTGCGAAGGGCTCCGAGCTGAGCTGGAACGTTCCTGGTTCCAAGCGTCGCAAGCTGTCGAGTGAAGGCAAGTGTTTGGCGGTTGCTGGCGGTCTTATCAGATGCGAACAAGCTGCAAAAGAGAGTGAGGCGGACGAGAACGTTTCTGCCCTAATGGGATGTCCGGACGGAGACTGCTCGTATTGTAGTGGGAGAAGCGGGTGTGAGTGGGATCAAGGAACCGCCCCGTGGACCTCGGAGTCGCCTTTGTGTCCCGTTGAAGCTCCTGAAGATCATTCTTCCGTCAGCGGTGGTTGCTGCAAACCTTCACTGGCAGTTCCCTCGGTGACAGATCACCTTTCGCATGTGGATACGTATTTGGAAGTTTGCGATAAAGCAGATGCTGGGTGCAGTATCACGGCAAGCACCGTTGACGTCCGTACTGGTGCGACTGGACTTGCCGAAGACCCCGAGGCTTTTCTGGAGGCAGTTGAGGTCCACGATTTTGATGAGAAGTTGGCGGAGCAGTCAACCTCTCCCGTCGATGTGCAACATCTGGTAAGCTGCCGTGTTTAAAGTCGTGGCGTTTGTTGTTTTTGCGCGCAATGTCTCTTCATTGAAGCACAGAAGTATTCCCGTGGTTTTCCTGTTCTGTTGCTGATTTTTTCAACCCTATTTTTTTTCTACTGTTTTCAGGTGGAACTCATCTGCCCTAACTGCGGTGTCTGCGGAACCGTTCCTAATTCTCCTTTGGAAAATTGCTCGAATGAAGTTGAAGAGCACAAGGTTCGTGTCTAAATTTTTGTACAGTCGTTTGGGCACGGTTATTCTCTCTCGTCATCACTGCTAACGCTGCGGGTTGCTCTTCGTTTGTTTCCAGTTGGAGTGTACAACATGCGGGCACTCCTGGGTTTCTCTCCTCAATTCAGGAGACGTCGCGGGTGCAGGCCACGAAGATCTGGAGTTTCACGGCCTGGAATGTCAAGAGGAAAGTAATGCGGTCGGGAGTGAAAGCGATGCAGATGATGAAAATGACCCTCTTCTTTTCATCAAACGGCTGCCGCTGCTCACATATACGATTCCGGAAAATCGTCCTTACATCTTACCTCCGCGGAAAGCAGATGCGCCGCCTGTGACGCTGGTCCTGGATCTTGATGGTAAGCTTTTGCCATCTGTTGCGTTGGACGTCGTGCTTCTTACTTGCCCTACTTAACGTCTGTTGTGTGTTCCTGTTACAGAGACGTTGGTACATTCGACAATGGACTTCTGCCCGTTTTCCGATTTCAACTTCCCAGTCTTGCTGAACAGCCATACGCATATGGTCCATGTTCGTAAACGCCCCCATGTGGAGACTTTTCTGCAGAAGGTAGCTGAGCTGTTCGAGGTTGTGGTCTTCACAGCCAGCCAGGGTATTTACGCTGATAAGCTTCTTGATATAATGGATCCCAAGACGGAGCTGGTTCAGCACAGGATCTTCAGAGAGTCCTGTGTCTACATTGAAGGGAACTATGTCAAGGACCTGTCTGTGCTTGGACGAGACCTTTCCAAAGTGGTCATTGTTGACAACTCTCCCCAGGTATTTTTTTTCTTTCCTTTGGCCTAACTACTTGGTTTTTCCATGTATTTGTGCAGGCTTCTCACATGTTGCAGTGCGTTTGTGCAGGCTTTTGGATTGCAAGTTGACAATGGTATCCCTATTGAAGCATGGTTTGATGATGACAAGGACTGCGAGCTGCAGTTGCTTCTCCCATTTTTGGAGACCCTGGCGAGGGCAGATGATGTGAGGCCACACATCACTGAAAGATTCAAGCTTCAGGAGAGAATTAACAAGATTCCTAACTGACTTGGGAGATGAGGAACTGACCTTCCTAACCCCCCAACGTCATTGATGTTGTGAGGGTAAGTGCACAGTACTAATATCTAATCTAGTCTACAGCTCTCTTTGTTATGCTGCATGTATCGTTAATATATCTTGATAGTAGTAACTAATTAAACGTCATCTAAGGAATTCTCCAATTGTTGTGAAGTTTGCCTGACAATATCATCCCATTCAGCAGCTTGTTCCCGGCACTCCTTCAAAGCAAGGTGTTTCCTCTTCAATTCTTCTTCCAGAGCCGTCACTTCCTGCAAAACATCCGGTCGCAGGTGTGTTGGTTCTAAGGTGTGCACGCAACGAACAAGCGTCTGCAGGCCGAGACCTTACCCTGGATAGTGTTGCTTGAGGATCAGCCATGTGCCGCGCTCGAAGCCTTGTGAAACAACGCTCCAGATCACACGCCGTTTCAAGGAATTGATGGGCTCGAATGTCAAGATCCACTGCAAGAAGGAAGGACAAAGTACAGCAGGGACGTGAATTATATTCCTATGTTTCTAAAAAAATCGGTCATGAAGGTCAACAAGATTTTTTACTTCGTTGTTCAGAATAAGTGGACGTCTCTCATGGTCTAAGCGTTTCACACTGGTCTAATCACCTGAATCTGCCACATTTGCTCTGTCAGCTGCCTGGAGCTCTCCAGCAGGAAGGAGGGCTAACAGATGCGCATCTAGAGTATCGAGCATGCGGAGAGCGTGAGCTACGTCCATCGCTTTTGAACGTTGGCGAGCTGAAACGCACGCAACGCAAATGACCACGCGTTACGGGATGAGAAGCTGAGGAAAACTAGGATCAAGCTGACGAAAGCTAGGAGCAAGCTGAGGAAAACTAGGAGCAAGCTGACGAAAGCTAGGAGCAAGCTGAGGAAAACTAGGAGCAAGCTGACGAAAGCTAGGAGCAAGCTGAGGAAAACTAGGAGCAAGCTGACGAAAGCTAGGAGCAAGCTGAGGAAAACTAGGAGCAAGCTGACGAAAGCTAGGAGCAAGCTGAGGAAAACTAGGAGCAAGCTGACGAAAGCTAGGAGCAAGCTGAGGAAAACTAGGAGCAAGCTGACGAAAGCTAGGAGCAAGCTGAGGAAAACTAGGAGCAAGCACTCAGGAAATGGCTACAGGATTTCTCAACAGCAGCGTGGCAGCGGGATGAAAAGTTGGTGCAGTTGGTCAATGGCAGGGAATCGAGCCAGATTGTACGCGTTTTAGCATGTCTTACTCCTCATTTTTGTTGTGAATATACGTAATGTAATATACAATTCTCCCGACTGAAGAAACAACTTATTCTGATTCCACTCGTTCCCTCTCCTCTCACTAAGTGAATCCTGACAAACAACTGCAATTCGAACAACCCCCGCGGCTAGTCTTATGCAGTAAGAGTGAGCCAGCGCGTTTCACGGCTGACCACTGCTTCAGCGGCTGTCCTGCTGTCACCTCATCTAAGATCGTCGGCGCAATGGCTTCCGCTGCGAGCACTGTCGCGGTGTCGACGAATGCGGCTCTGTGTCGTTCAGACCTCAGTGGATTTCAGCGTCACGAGGCTTCATTGAAGAGCAGGCAACTGTTGGGAACTGGCTTCTCAACGTCCTTCGCACATGGCGAGTCCCACCATGCAGCTTTTTGTGCCTTTTTTTTTGTGGTCCAATGCTATCTGTGTTGCTCCGATTTTGTCCTCAGTTAATATTTTTTTATATGTATATATATTTTTCAATGTGGCGTTACAGGTCTATCGGCTGAAGGAAATGTGGTTCAGGTGTCGTCGTTCTCCAAAAGAGCGACGACTCTCAGACGGCAAGTAGCCACGAGATGCGGATATGCAGTGACAGAGTCGCGAGGCGGAATCGCAGGCGAGGGCTTTCGATTTGGGGTGGTAAGCTCGAAAAGTTCAGTTCAGGGACAAGCTAACGACCAATAGGACCTCAAATGCCACGCGGACGTTGATCTTATTCGCGTTCTATTCTCACAGCTCAATACACGCCGGAGAGGTTTTGAAAGGGTTTACGATCTCACGCGCTCAGTCTTGGTTTTCCTAGTCTCATCTCGCCTCTCTCACCTTTTACTCTCTCCCTGCTTCTTGCTGCCTCCCTCGGATCCTCCCATACCTTGCATCCCGCTTTATCAGGTGGTGTCCAAGTTCAACGAGATTGTAACGAAGCCTCTACTGTCGGGCGCGATTGACACGTTCAGGCGGCATGGCGTGGACAAGGACCACATTGAGGTGGCGTGGGTGCCGGGCAGCTTCGAAATTCCCCTGGTGGCGCAGGAGATGGCCAAGTCGGGCAACTTCGACGCTGTGCTCTGCATTGGCGCTGTGGTCAGTGAGATCAACCACTTGTCGTGTACGCTGTACAATTTGGTTCATAAATCTGTGGCTGGCTCGCACGTTGCATTCATCCATTTTGTGGTCAGCCCTGCTAGTGCCTGCCAGCTTTGCTGCTGTGGTCTGCTGACCAAATCCCAGAGTTGTTCGGTTCCTATTCTGCGTCTTATTCCAATAGTCTCACGCTCACTTTTTCCCTTGCCTTCCCCTCCATCCTTGCCATCCTTGCCTCAGGTGCGGGGCTCCACCACTCATTATGATGCCGTTGCGAACAATGCTGCCAGTGGCGTTCTGAGTGCAGGTCTAAACTCAGGTGAGGCTGGAAATTGAAATCACATTTAGGATTGGTGATTTAGTGATTGTATTTGTTTGCCAGTTTTGCGACGGAATATCCGCGGTTTCGTATTGCTCCAAAGCACCTCTTGTAGCTCACTCTCCGTTCCCACCCACTCTCTCCGCTCCCCTCTGCTTTTTCGCTCCCTCTGCCTCACTCTCTGCAGGCATTCCTTGTGTCTTTGGGGTTCTCACATGTGAGACAATGGAGCAGGTACAGGCCTACTGTCTTTGTGCTTGTTTGTTTTCCATCCACACATGCATGTGCTCCCAGCACTCACTCATGCGCAGATCTCGGCGCAAAACAGCACCCACTCATGCACACCAAAAGTTGCCGGATCCTCGATGGACTCATGCATTTTTACCTCTACACTTCATTCTCAGGCGATGGACAGGGCTGGAGGCAAGCTTGGCAACAAAGGAGCAGAGGCGGCTGTCACAGCGGTATGTGTGTTGTCATGCATACGTGCATGCATGCACACTTACAGCATTTGCATATGGATGAAGGGCAACCATCACTGCCTTGGAATTTGTTTGTGAATGATGCATGCAGCAACTTCAACAGCTCAGTACTCGTGTCTGTGTCATTCCATTTCACTGTTTGCCGTGCTGACTTGCAGATTGAGATGGCTAGCCTAATGGCAATGCTGCGTGCCTCTGGCTCAGCTGCCCTCGAAGCTCCAGAGTGAAAGTGGCTGACTTGAATGAAGCTTTGGCAGATTCTCTTCTAGCAAGTGGTTGATTGCAGTTGCAAAGTTGGCACCAATGGTGCTGAAGCACCAGAACAGTCAAGCAAAGGCCAAGATTCCTCCCTGCTTGTACTTGCTTGTTTTAGTGGTCCTCTACATCAATTTTGTAGGTTTCTTTGATACGGTATCTCATTTGGAGTCGCCAATTTTGTGAAATAGGGGATCACTAACTAGGAATACCGTATGACTGTCTACATGAGCTGCCCACCAGAGCCAATATGGTGGCTCTGCGTGAGAGCCAAAGTGGTTCAATATGAGCTGAGGAGGCACAACCAGAAGTTTCAGTTTTTGCCATAGGAACTGTCATCAGAAGAGTACCTGTAAGACTATTAATGAATTTTGTAATATCACTAGAAACTGAAACAAACTAGCGTTAAAAGTATAAGGAGGAAGCCGCGGAGGCAACCAACCTGGTGAATATGGCGACAACCCTGAACCAGATTATAAAAATACTACGAGCTAATTCAGTCAAAGAATAACTTGAGCAGGCGGAACGGCATGTTGCCTACGCTCGGATGGCACCACCCTGAGCAGGGACCACAGACGAAGCTGCTGCCCTCACCACCACGCGACCCTGGCTGCAGGGCCACATCGCACGCGCACACGACTCCATCCCCGACATAAACCGAAATCCACTAGCAGCAGCACCTGGACCGGAAGATGTAACTGGGAGGACATGAACCGCTCTCAGGTCCTTGATCGAGTCCTCCATGTGTCCCTGAACGTCCACCTTCACAGCGGCGCGCTGCACCTCCCCCTTCACCTGAAGCTGCCCCTGCTGAGTCACTTTCACCTCCACCATACCGCCTTCCGCTGGTCTTCCGGTCTCCTTCATCTCCTTGGTCGCAGCGCCCGACGCGCTGCTGTCCCTGAGCTTCGCGGCAACCGGGGAAGGCTTGAGCGAGTCGCATGCAGCAGGCAGGCAGCACTTATCCTTTACAAGCCGACGCGCTACGGCCATAATGAGCATCATCTCGTCCATGGTGGTATCCTCGTCAGTAGCAGGCTCGGCGGCTTGGGCCAAACCGGACGACACCACCTTTCGCGGACGACCCACGGGTCTCTTCGCCTTCACAGCCTTTTGCGACGGTTGCGATTGTTGCTGCTGCCAGGCGACCTCGGTGAGAGTGAAGAACGACCCTTCCTTCTTGCATCGCTTCGTCTCCGCCGACTCAGCCCCAAACGCGTGCCCTTCACTCAACCGCCTCTTTTTTCCAGCCGGCGAATCCACCGCTCCCCCAGTATAATCACACTCCGAGTCGGAACCCAAGCCCTCGTCTTCTTCATAATCACTTTCAATCTCAGTGTCCTCGTCAGCATCATCTGCCACGTCATCGCCGTCACCGGACTCGTCGTCACTGACCACGTACTGGCGGTTTTTCCGGGTCCGCAGGCCCCGATGAACAAACTCTCCCTCTTCGTACGACTCCGCAGGGTGCGCATCGGCGGGATGCGCCGCTCCGTAAGCCCGGCTGTCAACATGTCCGAAGCTTGGGTCCGACGAGTCGCCCGAATCAGAGCTCGCAGCCGCGTTCGACGACGCGTAGCGGGAACCGCCGACTGGGAAAAGCTGTGGTAGAGCCGATGTTGCTCCCGCGGGTGTCCCCGCCGCAGCGGACGCCTTTTTCCTCCCGCGGGTACCTCTCGGGCGGAGAAACTTGGACGGGTCGGCGTTGGGGTCTTCGAATTCCCACCGCGTGGTTCGCAGGTCCAGTCGCTTGCTGTCGCCGTGGTCGCTCACAATCGTGTGAAGCGCCTTCTTCGCGTCGTACTTTTTCACAAATCCCGCGTGCCAGCGGTTGTCGCGCGGCCACACGACGCGAATCCGCGTGCCTTCGTGCAGGCGAACCGCGGTAGGTTTTTTCTGTCCACTCTTGTCAGATGAAGTAGGCTTGGCCATCGTAGGCTGTGAAATTACGGTACTGTCAATCAGATTAGAGTCAAGTCAAGCTGAGGAGGAAGGGAAGCTTAGAGGACGATTTGAAAATACGTGAGCAGAAAGGGCGCAGTTCTAAATGCTACTTTCCTGATGTAGTTGGCTTCCCTGAAAGTTGCTTGCAGATTCAAAAGAAATCGAGAGAGGGCGCGAGAATGAGGACTTAAGCGTTCATGCTGCAGAAATATGTGTTGTGAACGTGTGTGTGCTTGGGGCGCCAGGGATGATGGATAGAGGGAAGATGGGCGCGTTGGTTTCGCTGTGCGCGAAACCGATGGAATTGGGATGGTAGGGGCTGCGTGCACCGATCGCGTTTGCCGTGCTGGCGCTTTCCAGAAGGGCGGACATTGGGATTCGGCATTTTGCCGAGGGGCAGAAATTGGAATGGCGCAAAAAAAACTCATCGGGAGGCATCCTGGAGGATGGGAAATCAGAGTTTGGGTTCGGCGAGCAGTCGATGTGCGGCAGATTGTTTATGGAAAGGGGGAATGGGGCGCAGAATGGAAGCTGGGGCTGGCGGCAGGCAGGACAAGACTCGGTGCGGATGGCTTGCAAAGTGAGGTTTCCGCGTGGGAACGAGAAAAAAGGCAATTATCGAAGGCATTGGGATTGCGGATGATTGGGATGTGACGGACAACGAGCGGCACGGGCTGGGCGGGCAGGGCAGGTGCGAACAAAAATAGACAAGCCAACTTCATGGGGCGAATTTTGGAGCGAAAATCAGCGCCCCTGTGACAGCCTTGGGATTACGCGTGGCCAGGTAGGGAGGGAGGGAGCTGTCCCAGTTGGCGCGTCAGTCAGACCGCGTCGCGATCAGCCCCAAGCCTTCCGTCGGCCTCGGGAGTTTTGGTGAACTCCCTTGGCTCTTGTGTGGCCATCGTACATGTCGGTAGTTGATCGCAAGCCTTCGCAACATCTCGTAAGGTTGTTAGCACCCTGGACAGTGATCGTTGTGATTTCGCGAGGGTTACACACGTGATAACAGCGGTGCAAGCACACGGGGGCACCGCTGCGACGTAGGTGCTGCGACAGTGTCGCATCGCATCGCCGGGAAGTGTGCTGCTGACTGAGAGGCAACTTTGTATCGCGGTTGTTTGGCTCCGCACAGTCTCCTGAGGTTGTGGGACTCGGGGCGAAAAAGAGCTGCACTGTGAGGCTCCCACCGAACTTTGGCTGCGCGGACCAATGAACAATGAGAGTTTCTGGGGCTTTCGGTGGAATCCGCTAATCACGCGAGCGTTGCACGATCACGCGAGCTCTCGATTTCTGTTGCCAATCGTCAATAGGTGCAAGCACTGTCCTCCCAACCTGGTGTAACGATCCACCACGACTTTCGGCGGCATCCACAATCCTGAGATTGTCAAGTAGGTCAGATCGACTGTTGAGCTGCTTGTTCTGGCGACCATTCCCGCCACCTTGACGCCACCACAAGTCAGACGTGTAACCAATTAAGTAATGTCACGTGGAATATGAGGGTTAGCCTCACGTGTTTCCGTGTTGGCTCCAGCGAACAAACCTCCATGTTCAACCCAATCACGGGCAGGTAAAAATGGCGCACGTCCACCAACCTCCCAGCTTGTCGTGCGCCTCAAGTTCAAGGTGTTGAAAGAATATCGCCGAAGCTGCCCGAACGTGGGTGTGCTAGGGGCTGCCTCGTCAGTTTCTCCAACATTCATGAGCACAATCCTCTCGCATGAAGTGGGTCGCTGCAACAGAACGGGCAACTTTTAGGCTGCACCAATTCAAAATTGGGACAAGCACCCCCAAGATTCTGACAATTTGATAAAAGTGTCAGATATTGTTGGCGGGACAAGTTATGTCTCCCGCCAGAAGCTTCTCACGGTCTGCCTGAAAACCGCGGGAAAAGCTTGGGGAGATATCCTGAAATGACACAAGTGAAACATTGACTCGTTATGCAATCAACCACTTAGACAAGTGATCTGGTTATAAGTTTTAGATTTGTGTCTACCTTTGCTCCTAGGCTGATTGCACTCCAACACCTCTACAAAAACCTTTGTTTTTACCTCACAATGAGCAAACTCCTTCAAGTCCGCTGTAATCACACTATCAACGCTCTTCCACTTGAGCTCCTTTTTCTTCATCGGTTCAAGATCCAGTGCACTGGAGACCACCAACCGTCCCACCTGACCACTGGGTCCATCATTTCCAACATCACTCGTCATTGATATTTTCTGGCCAGTCATTTCCAATGCAGTCAGCCCTGCTCCTTTTCGTGCATCCTGTTCATAGACTTTCGGTGTAGAGCAGCTCACAACACCGCTACCAATGCACCCAGCAGCGCGCCTTGACACATACTCCTTGCAATTCCTCACCGACGTCTGTAAAGGGCTCTGGTGCAGCTTGGATGTAGATAACCTTATCCAAGGATGTAGCAGCGCTTCATTCGCCGTCATCCTCTCCGACCGATTCGGCGTGAGCAATCTGGTCAAAAACTCCAGAAGCTCGGAAGAGGGATCATCTGGCAAACCCTCCACGTCACCAGCCTGTAACCTTAGCCACGTGGCATTCCCATGAACTTGGTCTGCAGACGCTGTTGCCTTTCCCATCGCCAACCTAGGACGCACCCCCCCCACCATCAAGAACAGCACCGCACCCAGACTCCACATGTCTGCAGCTTGAGTGAAGACGCGCTTCTGGGAAACTTCCGGAGCGGCAAAGAAGGGTGTGGTGCCAGGAGAGGGTGAGGCAGCACCTTCAGGAGGAATAAGCATGGCTGATCCGAAATCTACCAAATGGAGATGCTTGGATGATGTACCAGGGAAGAGAATGTTAGTCGGGTTCTGATGAGAAGGGGAGGGAGGGTCGGATGAGGGTGGGGGGGAGAGGGTCGGATGAGGGTGGGAGGGAGAGGGTCGGATGAGGGTGGGGGGGAGAGGGTCGGATGAGGGGGGCAACACAGGGTGCTTGGTTCCAAACAGTTAAATCGCATCCTTGAGCAGCGTCAAATCTATTGGGGGGTAAGTAAGAATTGGGGCTGATGCGAGGAAGAAATTTAGGAAGAAGGGGGGTTGGTGAAGGAAGTAGACTGGACAAGAGGGAGAAGGGAGGGCGTTTACAAGGAGGAATCTATTCAAGGCAAGGGGTTGAAATGAAAGCACGAGCTACAAGATACACACTCACACTTCGCCTCTACCCAGACCCCAAAAAAAACTCCCACACATCTCGTTTCATCCTCCCAACACACATTCAGGGTGTGTTGGCACGACTTACAACATCAAGGTGTGCGATCCCCTTAGAATGAAGATATGCAAGAGTCTTCAGCAGATGGCGCACTGGAGGACAGCACAAACCAACATAGCAGTAAATAAACAGCTTCATCAAATGCACAATTTCAGAGAAACACACAGTCTGCTCACGAATGGTTGGTGACAGCGGCTGACCAGGAATGGTCGATGCAACGTTGCTTCTCACCAATAATTGATGCATGGCGCTCTGAGAATTTCGGCCTGGACGCAATGTGCGATAGGAGGTCCCCTCCAGCCACCAAGGGAGTGACCAGGAAGATGAAGCGGGTATCCTCAAATGTGCCCAGCACAGGGAGTAGGCCAGGGCAGGCTGAGACTGAGGCAAAATCGTGTGCAGCCGGGTTGGTAGAGTCAGATGAAGCAGGACAAACAGGGTCGGCAGAGGAAGGTAACGACCCTGCTATCACAGTGGAACAGGTACCGCCACTGCTGGTGGCGGCAGCGGTAGTGCTGCTGGTTGTGCTGCTGCTACTGCTAGCGGCAGAAGTACTGGCGGCAGCAGCACAGCTCTCATCGTTCTTGTCTGATTGGTTGCTGGCTTCACTGCGCTGCAGCTGCAAGCATCCACACGAGGAGAAATAAGAAAGATAACAACAGGAGGCCATAACAGGCTCAGCGATCGAAGCGCGGAAAGCTTGGAGACCCGGATTGGTGACAAGGTTGGGGAGTTCAAAACGGCTGGAGAAAACCGTTTCAACGGTTGCATGCATTATGAGGCTCATTCGAACCAGCAGCACCCAGCCGTACCCAGCCCAGCCATGCCAGGTAGCACAGGCCGGCCAGGCATGCCGAATTCAGGATGCGCGTACAGCATAGTTGGTAGGGAAAGGGGCTTACTGCAAGAAGGACCTCAATCTCAGACGCCTGTTGGGCGGTAGGCAGGGGTTGGGCGCCAGCATGTGGAGAGAGGGAGGAGAGGGAGTGGGGAGGGGTTGGAAATGAGGCATGCAGGAACAGGAGTCACATTGGTCTGCAAGCAAAGTATTTTCAGCAGGGCGAGAGAGATTGAATAAAAAGAAGCGAGGTAAACGCGTTGGTCCTTTGTCAGCCTCTCACCCCTGCCGCACTCTCTCTGCTCTCCTCTCAGCGTTCATCATCCTTCCTCCGCTCTCGCTTCGTGCGTGTGGTCCCTCCCAATGCTTATCCTGCTCACCCTGCTCACCACTCACCCGATGATCTTCTCCCTTCATTGCTGTCACAATCCGCTTAGATATCATCTTCACTGCCACGTGGGTCCCACTCAACCTGTCCACGCCCACCCTGCACGCGATAGAGTCACCATAAATCCAGGCCTAGATTGTGAATGAGTGCTTATTTCCGTCACTCGCAATGAGATAACTGAGTTCGAGTTTCATAACCAGGCAGCGTCAAGATGCGCATGGCACCGTTTGCCATGCCATGCCTGGACAGTGTCCATCGCTCAAACTCTGGGTTTTCCCACAAGTCTGAGTTTCTGAAGAGAGGAAACACCAAGACCAAGCAGGACCAGGCAGCGTCGTCTGGAATGCCATGCGCATATTTCGGCAGCTCACCATACGATGCTTGTGCGACCCTCCCCAAGGACGTCTCTCGTCAGGCGATAAGCGCGTCGCACGTCCGTCGCATGGCCGATTTTTAGACCGCGAGGCTCGAGCCAGGGAAAAGACGACTCGTCCTTGTCTTCCCAGTCCTCTAATGTCCGGTGCTTGGAAGAGGCCG